GCTGTCTGGCGTTGCAAGCTTCCAGAGGGCTATGGCCACTCGCTTCTGGACAGTCAGGGCTGCTCGCATCCGGGTGTCCTTGCGCTTCAGGGCAGGGGACAGCAACTCACAAAGTTCCAGGAAAGTTCCCTTCCGCATATGAAAGTTTCGCAGCCACTGTGATTCATCCCAGACCTGCAGCACTATGCAGTCCCACCAGTCTGTGCTTGTTTCCCGGGCCAAGAATTGCCGTTCCACAGCATCAACACGACCCATTGTGACCATGATGTTCACTGCGCGGGGTCCCGTGATTTGCGAGAGGTCTGTGCCACTCTCAGACTTCATGTCCTCAGCGCGGTGCCGTAGCCTCCTCTCCCGATTTCTCAGCATCTGCCTCTGGAAAAGGTGGATGATAAGCTGCGAGGTGTTAACGGCCATAACTGCAGCGATGGTCGCAGTGGGCTCCATGCTCGCAGTGCTGTGGCATCTGCGCTGTCACTCACCACAAAAGTGCGCGAACTGATTGCCCGCTGGCGCTTTCAGGGAGGGAGGGCGGGAGTGACAGTTGGATGACGACAGTTACCCAAAACCACCCTCGATACATTATTTTCCCCAGCAGGCACTGGGCACTCGACCCAGAATTCCAATGGGCAGCGGGGACTGCGGGAACTGTGCGATAGCTGCCCACAATGCACCGCTTCCAATGTCGACGCTTGCCCCGTTAGTGTGGACTCACAAAGTCGAATTACTGTCCTTAGTGTGGATACACACGTTCGACTTGTTAATATCGATTCCACATATTCGATTTAAGTACCATCGAAATACTCTCGTAGTGTAGACATACCCTAAGGAGCTGGTTGAGGAGCTCACAGCAAAAGTTGGTTGGAGTAGTCAAGAGATAAAAGCACACAGAGAAATTAAGGCAATGAGCTATTACAAAGAGCAGTGACACGGGTGGCTGAATTTCAGTTCACTTGCCAGTGAACAGTTTGTAAAGTGCTTTGGAATCCTTCAGCAGAAGGAACTTAAGTGTGTTACTTGATTCAGCCATCGATTTGATTAACTCCCAAGGCATGTAGTAGCATAGGCAGTTTTGATTTCAATACAAAGCTATTCTATTTGCTGAGTTTTCAGCAGCTGAATTCTAACTTTGTACCTTAAAATACAGGGGGCAGCATCAACTCAACATTACCTCTCAGGGTCCAGGGTAAGGGCAGCTGGCTGTAATCTGATCTGTGCCTTCCCCTCTAGAACTTTTGAGATTTAAGCCTGAACAGTGTATAAAAGTTGTACCAATTTAAATGAATTTAAAAACTGATTTTAGTTACGTGTGTCCCAGAGGTTTTGCACCAGTTTACAACTGGCCAATATCAATTGAACTGAATTAACCTAAGCTAAATTGATGTAAATCAACTTGTGACTACACAGGAGTTTGCACTGGCTTAACTAAATAGATTAAAAACACAGATCTTTGTGAAGCCGGTGGCCATTTGTGTTTAGACAAGGCTCATTAGGGTGAACAGTGACCGTATGAGAGCATAGTCTTTGTAAACAAAACATGTAGCTGTGTATCCCATAACAAAAATTGAAAACCAGATTAAATGCAATATTAAACCAAGTCATCTCAATACTTCCACATGTTTTCTCTCACACCAACCAGTGAGAATACTTCAATTTAATTGACCTGTTCTTTAGAAAAGTCACATCTATTTAAGCGTGTAGTCTTACGTAGTGAAGGGATCATTATCTCCATTTTAAATTTGGGGACAGAGGTACAAAGATAAAGCGGTTTACCAAAGGTCATGCAGCCATTCAATAGCACAGCTGGGACCAGAACCTCACGAAACTCCCACTCATGTGCACCATCTACTGAGACAATGTTGCCTGTGTCAAGTCAGTGATGACTCCGGGTTACGTGCCACCCAAAGCACGCTGTGCACATGCTAAGAAGAGTCGTCAGCCCTGCCTTAGATAACACGGTTGAATAGACTACAGCATATGATGCAGCTCTCTCGGAAAGAAGATATGCATCAGATTTTAACAGCAGGCCACTGGTTACGCAGTGGGCTAGTTCCACACTGTAAATCCCGCAAACAGGAATGAATGTGCTCATGAAGGACCACATCACCATGCTGTCTGAGCCCTTTAAAAGAACAGACTACACTACTTGAATTGGGCTCACCTCCATTCTTGTCCCATTAGGTATGTGAAGAGCTTGCGTTCGAGATCAGCCAAAAGCGGGACACTGCTAGAGGATTATGCTACTGCAGAGCTAAGCCACCAATTCATTATAGGCCACAATTCTCAGACGGATATTAATACTCACCGTGGCAATGCCCAGCCAGAATCATATACCTGGGGTCTAGGCCTCAGAGTACAGGCAACTAACCTTATAGGGGCTTTGTGTCCCCTCCCATCAATGTCTGGAGCTCCACAGTAGTATAAAGAGGTTAGTGCTGGCCAAGATTGCTGGAATTGTTAATGCTGAGCCTGGGTTTGTAAAACCTGGGACAGTCCTGACAGAAATGGGACTAGTGGAATCCAAACCTATCTACACTGGCATTAGCTCAATTCCTATCCCCATTCAATTCTAAATTGCCCTCCAAACAGAAAGCTCCAGTAGGCCCCATTATAATCCTTCAGCAGGTCTCCACTAGAGAATGAATCCCGCATTGATCTACTGCTCTGTTCCAAAGAGCTATTGGCCAACTGGAAAAGCCTCACTGACATCTGGCACTTCATGGACTCACAGCTAATGCAGAGGCAGGTGATAGGCGTAGGTACTCTCAAGCTCAAAGGCAAACAGCTTTAGAAACTGGAAAAGTTGGTTCTTCCATTTTATCACATACCTCCACTTTGTGTCTTTCTGGACTTCAAACTTTTCCCTTTCTCCCTCGTCTTCTACCTCTAGGAAGGCTGCCGAGGTAAGTTTCACTTTACTCCAGGTCTGCTAAAATCCTTTTCCTTGCCTCAGCCTCCTACCTTGACTATTAGAGCTTTATATGATCCAGACCTCTTTGGTGGGCCTCCAGAATGCTACGGGTCCTCAACACACATTCCAGGAAGCAATTCAGCCCCCTCAGATTTGTCTACTTTTGGGAGTGAGGAAAATTTCCAAGGACGATCCTTCAAACAAGCCAGGATCCTGAAAGCTACGAGTTCCCAAGGAATCAGAAGTATGTGCTTATGATGGAGAATTGTAGATTCTAGACTGTAACTTGGGGCTTCACGAGGTTTGGATGTTCTGAGGTTTGTATAAAATCCTGTAATCCACCATGTCCCTCCTGCAAAAGGCACTCCCCTACCTGCCCTCACCTTTGTTTTTTAGGAGGGAGTTGGATGGGGCAAATGGTAGAGACCGTGATCTGTTACATTCCTCTACCATGTTCCATGGGGAGGATGGAAAGCCCCACTTCTTGGAGGCAACTCACCCTCTTGTGAAGTGGAGTGCACAGGGCATATCCTGTCTCTTCGTAGGCCTCACTCCATCTTTGTACAGCTGGTAATGGCTCCCTCCTCTGCACTCTAGCAGCTGGGAATGCAGCTGAGGCACGGAGAGAGAGAGGCAGTTCCAAACCTCTTTCGACAACTGCTCAATGTAACAGCCTCTACTGGCTAGAGGCCTACACTGCTTCTGCAGAAGCCCTCAGGCAGCAGATGGCACAGTCCCCATGATACTGCTGGGATTGTCAGTGCTGAGCATGGATTTGTAAAACAGGCCTGGAAGTCATGCCTAGCCACACAAGCAATCAGATTCCAATCCCTATTCAGTTCTAAATTGCCCTCCAGTTTTTGTAGTCTCTTCCCCCACCCCAGAAGTCACCCCCACACTAACTTCAGTAACAGTTGAGTTCTCTCCCCCATCCTCTGCCTGAGAAATCCCTGCCTTTTTGCGAGGTATAACCCTTAAACCGTTCTAGCTTGTTTTGATCCTCCCCACGAAGGACTAGTTCAGTCTCTTGCTAAATTTGGCTTCGTGGCATTTGATTTGGATTTTCAAATTACATTTAAATCAATTGTGGTTATATTGTAATTTGTTGCTACCTTAATGACTTATAAGTTCTGCATACAAAATACAATAGCTAGCCAACTTTTAAATAAAAATAAAGATTATTACTTTAATTTTGCTGCACATCTAAAGATAGTTTAAAAAAAATCTGATTCGCTAAAAAAAAACCTAAGGTAATGTGCTTATTTTGGTGAGAGTCACCGAACAGCCTAGGGCAGATAACCTTTAAATAATGTTATTTTAACCCTAAGAACAAAAATGACTCTTCCAACATTGTGTGCAAAGAAACTAGCTCATTAACCCTTGAATGCCAGTGCCTCTGGCATACTCTGAGTCATCTTTTAAAAACAGATCTATTTTGCCTATAGTATCTATAAATGCAGTGCATTTGTAGGGTAGCATAAAAGCTCTTGTATAATATAGATAGTACACTTATACTGATGAGGACAAGATATAATTTGCTTGGAAAACAGAATAAATTCAGCAAAAATATCCTTTCAGAAACCTTATATGAGTGATGTAAATGTTTATTCTGATCAGCATTTTTGTACTGTAGTAGCAATACCGTGAATATATTTTAAGTCTGATTTATTTTAAAAAGCGTAGTAAATTGCTAAGTTGATCAAGGTAAATCAAGTCATACCTTCTTAACACAGCAATGACTAGCTCTGTAAAATTTAATTACCGTCAAAATGATTAAATCCAGAACAGGTCATTTTCCTTTTTTTAAAAGTGTGCTTTTAAATACAACAAACTTTGGCCTGTACAATTCACTAACTTAAAAAAAAAAACCACAAATTCATAAAATTTAAATAAGACAGCAAAATTATACCTTGTAGCTAAAGTTATCACAAATAATATAAAGTCTAAATTGTAGCCTGAATAAACACTATTCGCTGGATTTCTTTGCAAGCCCAAGGCAGGATGCATAGCAATTATCAGAAATGAGTACAATGATGAATTTTCATTTGAATGCTGGGGGGAAAAATGCTAAATTTACAGCACGACAACATACCAGCTGATAAAGCAACTTTATTAGTGTCCTGCGGCAAAGTACATTAGTAATTTGTAACCAACCATTAAAATTCTCATTTTGTGTTATAAAAAAAGTAATCAGTTTCCTCCATGATGCATTATATGTTTTACTGAATTTCTTATGGGTTCTCCTCCTGGAGAGACATACATGAAAAACCCTTAACAAAAGGCCTATTGCAAAGTAACCAGAAAATACTTTACCCTCAAGATGCTTTAATGGGCTTTAATTTTCTGTCAAATAGCTCTAATACCCACAGCTCAAGTAGTGTCTTGGAAAACAGCAATTTTAAACAAATGCAACAAAAAGCTCTATTCCAAATTAAAAAAGAAAAATCAAATCCACTCAGGTTAGAAAAGTGTGCGACAGTGTATTACTTTTCCAGATGTTTTTCCACTGCTGCCTTATTGTATAAGAAGCACAGCTAGCACCTGCTATCCTCATATTCTAACACACAAAGTTTATCCCCTACACACACCATGTGTGAATACACTAATGCATCCATTAGTAATTTAATTCTCTCTTTTGAGTGATGTTTTCCTCTTGATCACAATGTAAAACTGCAGTCATTGAAAGACGTAACATGACCAGCTACTAAGGTTAATGATTAGTGTTACTGTAAGATTCTTTGGTTATAGGATATATTTTAGTTTAGCAGAGTTATACAAAATAATTGTCACCTAGAAATATGCCCCTGAAGTCTAAAAGCAACCTAATATTAAAACATTTGCAGACTGAGGTTGTATTGATAGGATTTATAAATTTGAGTATTTCCCCATGTAATCTAAACAAAGTTATCCAAATTATATTAAGTAAATACATTTTAATGAATAGTAAACTTTTGAAATCCTTAGAATATTAAAAGTAAAGTTCTAGAAGTAGCAGTAGTGGTCTGAAAGAAAAACTTCTCTTTAAATACTCTCCATTGCCTTGAACTCGCTGAGAGCCTGCACAGGATTAACATGTTTCTTCTGGGATGCTCTTTTGATTTTGGTTTGAGTTTCATCCTGTTTCTCTCTCTTGACCAGAGGTTTCTTCTCTGGAGCCTTCATTTTCCAAGACACAGCAGGAAGGTTCAGGGAAGCCATTCCTTGGGACTTTTGATATTTAGTAGATGCCACATAGGAAGCCTTCACTGTTTGCACCACTGCATTCATCAGGTTCTTTGCAGCTTGGATCAGAGACATAGCACTGTCCACCTACAATAGATATCACAATCATCATCTGTTTTTGGCAATGCCCATGACCTGCTACGCACTGCAAGAACTAAGCAAACACAAAATGTTTCAGAAGCTTTGTGACTTGAATTTTTAGAATATTTTAAGGTAATTCATCCTCTTATTAAGGAACCCTCAGCAGGATTTCCAGAAGTGATGCTATGTTTTCTGACTCTTGGTAATGAGAAACTGACTCATACCATCAGACGAACGAGCAATATTTCTGTGCACTCAATGGTGCCTTTTCCATATTTATGGACTATTTAAAATATTTGTACTTGGCTGTTTGCTGTCAGTCTTGTGGCTGCCCTATCACAGCAGCTTCCACTTCAATTAAGTGTATTATAGCTATGATGATATCTTAATCGCTGATTGATAAATATTTAAATCACACTGGCATATTAAATCACATTAAGAGGAAGGTACTATTAAGCAGTTTCAGCCAGTGATGAAGTCCATGCAAGCAGGATTAAAATGAGGAAAGCTGCATTAGAGAAAACAGTTCTTTCAGAGTAAGGAAAAGATGAAGGGTAAAATTATTCCCTGGGAGACCGAACTTTAGCTCCTGCCAAATTACCAGTGTATAGATGAACCCAGTAGAGTAGAGGGCCACACCCAATTTGCACAAAATTGAGTAGATTATGTCAGCTGTTCTCCTTTTTCATATAGGGGTGTGGTTTACAGAGACCAGAGATGCCCGCAAGCAATGCCGCAGTTCAGACAGGTATGGCATGAAGGATTACATGCTAGGATCTCAAGTTTCTGCTGGATGTTTCTTCATATTAATGGTAATAGATAGAAGCTGCCTTTGGGCTGTAATTTGGACACCCAAATGTAGTTTATTTACCTAGCAATTTTTTTTATTGAAAAAAGGAGAACTTAAGGGGAGGAATGGAACTCAGCTTTTCTGTTGCTCATGCCAAGGTCCTTTTTAAAGAGAAGTTGAAAGAAAGAGGCAGTCTGAAGGAATTGCATTTATGGCAAGCAGGGGCAGAAGGAAGAACATGCAAAAATGCAATGGAGAAAGCAGACAGTGGGGCAGATGAGAGTTGAACTAGGGGAGGAAGCTGGGCAAATGTCTGAGCATGATCTAGGGCATGAAGGCTGTGTGCATCAAAACAGACCAATACCACACAGTCTTGCTGAAATAATGGCTTATCCTCTCCAATTCTAGGAGTCTACTTTGAGCCCAACACTATGCAGCGTATGCTTGTCCTATTATAACAACTCACTACCATTTTAAAACAATATATTTTAAGTCTATTTTATTGCCATGAGTGCCCATATGTATAACAAAAGGAATAGCTACATACACTTGAGAGTTCACATGCATAAACCCCATGGCAAACTAACAGTCAGATTGATTAGGACACTCAGAACAGGCTGTAGACCACATTACTGATCTTTAGTGAGCCTTGATTTTGTTAAAATTTCTGTTCTAACTGAAAGCCTGGGTATTAAGCAGGTATCATACCACTTGTTGCCTTTTGGCAGCCCACTGCACTACTAAACTTAAGCTAATGTTTTCACCTCTTGGTAAATTACTACATTTTAAAGAACTGGTTGGCACAACCAGTCTTGGGGTTGTGCAGTTGCACTGTGTGCTTCCTTTTCATTCTAGTCAAACTGCTTATTGGCTGCTTTGCCAACAAACTGGTGCACCCACTAAGACTTGGAGTCTCTGGAAAAAATAAGACTGTGTCCTGGCTTTGAAAGAGACTTAACCATTGAATATTGTGACCCATCAAATCTGCATAGACTGGCCACCTACATCAAGCTCATGTAAGTGTACAGATCAAGTATTTCCTTCCTAGAACTCAAGACATTTTAGGATAATAAACTGCATAGGAAGCAGGTTTCAGCACTTGGATTCTAAGCTGAGCTGCAGATTCACTGAGTTGATTGTTTCAGGGAGCTGCTAACTGCAAAATTTCTTTTTCAGAGGGTCTGCTGTTCTCAGGGTCTGTGTCCTTTTTTAAAAATAAAAATACAGCTTTTCAAAAGACTACTTGTTGTAGGTCCTAGAATGGTCTGAAGCAGCTTTTAGCCTGCATGATCCAGAAGCGGTATAAGTACTTCAGGCTCTCCCTATGATTTATATAGTTCCAGTGTGCTTGATGCTTTACAGATTAAGAGAGCCCTTTCCCCAGGGTGCTCGCAATTTGGTAGCTAGTGACCAGATCTGAATGGCAAGTCTGTGCTAGGCCCTGGTGTGCTCCCCTCCGTTCAATCAATCTAACCTGCTTTCCTTAACCTAACCAACAATTTGGAAAATATATTTTTATCTTCACTGCTCTTCACAGAATTTTTCCAAATGTGAAGAAATCTGCAAAATTATGCAAAACATGTGGGAGGGAAACAGCTAAATTCCTGAATTTTCTCGCCTGGATTCTCTTTGCCATAGTTCATTCTATTGTTCAGTGATGCTTTGCCAAATTCTTGCTATGGAATTGTGTGTGTATTTTTAGTTCAGGGTATAAATTGTTAATATTTATTTTTAAAGACAGAGTGCCTAGGGTTACCATATTTGACAAAAAAAAAAAAAGAGGCCCCTCCATGGGGCCCTGGCCCCGCCCATTTCCCACCCCCAGCCCCGCCCCAACCCCGCCCTAACTCCACCCCCTCCTCCCTCCCACTCCCAGCCACACGAAAAGGGCTGCCCGAGTGCTACCGGCTTCACAGTTTGCCGGGCAGCCCCCAGACCCTGCGTCTCCGGCTGGCGCTTCCCCAGCGCAGCTGGAGCCCGGGAAGGGAAGTGCCTGGCCGACGGCTCGGGGGCCCGGGGGGGGGGGG